TTCTCCCTGGACAGAGGTACATTTGGGTCAATTTATCATCTAAGAGATAAAAGACGAAAGCTGAGTACATTGTTAGTGTCCTCTACTTTCCAACTATAAAGCGATAGTAGCTTTTTGTTTGGGTTCACCTCTGGGACTCCTTTTGAGGAAAATGATTAAATCAAACTGTAATGTGGGTGATTTTGTGGTATAGATAAAAGCCCAGGAGGAGCTTGTCAAAAACCACTACATTTGAGGTTCTTGACTACTCTAAACAATATGTGACTTATGTCTCCAGAGATGTAAAGTGAATGTGTTATTAACGGTATGACTTAGGGAAACAAATTTGCAACAAAAATATAAGGAAAGATGCAGCCTTTAAAAGGCCGAACTCATTTTGTATACCAATTTTTCTAGAATAAATCCAGCCTTTTATAGGAATAGTAGGATGTCTTATTATCCATTCAACACATTTTAATATGAAAACTGTACATTACTGTTTTTATTTATTATTTATAGAGTGCAACAGAACAACATGACAGTGTACAATGCAAACACTACAGCACAGCCTCTGCCTCCGGGAATATGTAATCGAAAGCAAAGGTAAACGGGATTACTCCCCAGCCCCAAACCAGGTAACATGGTCCCTCTTCGCCATACTAATATGGGACATAACTAGGATACAGGAGACGCCCTGCTAAGGGCTGACCTTGTTTGATGTCACTCACGTGACCACTGAATTGTTTGGTCTTATTATCGACTTGAGTCCAGGCAAAGTTAGCCTCAAAATATCAACATGAAGTGTTAATAAAGGAAAAAAAAAAAACACATTGATAGGAAGTCTTATAAAGGAAGAAGTACAGTCCTTATAAAATAATAAGTCCTAAATAAAAAATAATAAGTCCTCCTCACTAAAACTAGGGAACAGTTAATAAATTAATAATTGAAGTAAAATAACACATCTACACATTCAGGAACAAAGGTAAAATAAATCTAACTTAATAACTGCATATTTTTGTAAAGCCTTTTACCCCAGGATCTAGCTTCCAACACTATGCCATGCATATAACAGATACTCAAGAAATATTCATTTTTATTTCCACAAACTGTCTTTATCCATTTTAAAATATTTTTGCTTCTGCTACTTCAGAGATGAGATAAAAATTTAAAGAGCTAGATTAGTGGTTTAAACTCCATAGGATCCTTCCCATGTGGGATGAGGCCTGGAAGGGGGAAATGGAGTTGGTAGACCTGTCCTCTGCCTCTCCCTCCAGCATGGTGTGGGCATTTAGCAGGTATTCGGTAAGTACTGAAGGGTGGACGGCCACTCCTTCTCCCTATGCTGGTGTGTATAAGAATTTATGTTATATTCAGCCTCTTTCTATAAACTGTACTCCCATGGAATGCAGTAATCATCCTCTCATTCCGGTGAAAGAGAACCTGAGGTAGAAGAAGAAGAGAACACACATTCCTGAAAATGAAACTGCGATTTGCCAGCACTTCCTATGAAAATGAAAGCAGATCCAATGCATGGGAGTAGTATGGTATTACTTCATTATTTTGTTCTAAGTTTTGTTTTGTTTTGGATGAAGAGTTGCCATGTTTTGGCCTTTTATTTAAAAGTATTTAATTGACAGCTAAGGATTATATATATTCAAGGTGGTCAATGTGATGATTTGAAATATATATATATATGTATACACACCTACTGTGCAATGATTACCACAAATTAATTAACACATCCATTACCAGCCATGCTGAACATTAGCTCCCCAGAACTTGTTCACCTTATAAGTGAAAGTTTTGTACCTTTGACCAACATCTCCCCATTCCTTCCATTCCCCAGCCCATTACGGTAGTACCCTGGGGCTCAGCAGTCTGAAACCATATACTGAATCTAACAGAAGGTACTTAACAGGGCCCTATTGAAACACAGTTCTAAGAGCTAAAACCCAAAAGCAAAATTGAACTGGTTGAGATGTGTCAGGTCACAAATGTGACCTCACGCCCTGTATTTCCTCTTCAGCTGATCTGCTCACTTTCAGTCTCTTCTTTCTTTGACCTCTATAACCAACTTAGTATCTTTCATCTGGAACCTGAGAAGTTGCTGGCCTTGCAACACAAAACCAAATTGTTGAGCTGAATTTTAAAAACAGTATTTTTTGAGGGACTTCTAGGTCCTTCTATATCTAAGGTGTGTATGTGGTACAAGTCTCTATGTTACCTCTGAATATAGAATGAAGTTACCCAACAGACTAAGTAGTTTCACACTATGGAAGGGAGAAACGAATTGTCTGGGAGGGAACGAGAAGCCCTTTGTGAGAAAAGAGACTGACAATAAAGTTTTAAAAGGTCAGATGGAAGAAAAGAGCAGATATCAGGCATAATCTCAGTGTGTTTCACAGGTTCACAGATTCACAGAATGGTTATTGCGGCCTGCTGCACATTTTGTTAAGAAAAGGGACTGGGTAAGGTACAGCAGGAAAAAGTAAAAAGCAGTTGTTTGGTGAGGATAATTTGAAGGTTCTTATGACAAGTCTTCTGGTAAATAATGGAAATTAGGCCTTTCACCAAAAAAGAGATTGTCCTAGATTACATTATCAGCATGTAGCAGAAGAGCCACCCGCATAAATGGGTGTGTGTGTGTTTACTGTGCTCTCAGTTAAGGTACCGGTTGCACATATTAATCAAATAGCATGACCCCTCCACCTGCTTTTCTATTACCTATCCTACTTTGTGCCAATTTCCTTTCTCCTCCCCAATACCCCTTGCTTCACTGTTCTTCTTTAAGACATGGGATGGGGATTTGTCAAAGTCAATGAGCACTTTATTACAGTGAGAACACTCTGTAATGAACAATTCAGCAATTTAATGAGATTCTGTAGATCTGTCTCCAGCCTGTCCATCAAGTTTCACTTCTATAAAGCACCCTGACATTAATCCTCTGGCATACCCAATCTCCACCCTGGGCTGAATATTAGATTCTTCCATGGTATATTGCATTACTAGTATAACCTCGGCAAAAATGATGAACTCAACTATACTCGAGGCAAAATGGCTGGTCTGATTCGATTTTTCTGTATTGGAGCGAATATGAGGAAATCACTTATTTACTAAGATAAAGCAAAAACAGTTTCTTATTGCCTGCTGAATGCCTAAATTGATAATATTTATGTGAGTCTTTTAATTCTTTCTTGAGGACCAGGTATAAAAACAAATGTATTGCCTGCAGCAGAAACAAACTTTTAAAATTCTACATTATAAAATTAGTAACCTTTAGAGAGGCAATTATGATAACTCTTAAGTGGACAGTATGGCATTTTCTTGACACTCAGACATCTGCACATTACCACATTGATGTCTGGCAGTACCTTCAATCATGCCACCAAAAGAGATAGAAGCCACAAGGATGCTTGGCCTCAGATCTCAATTCAGTTAGAAAAATTTAAATACAGGATTCATTCCAAGTCTCCTTCTTAGCCCTGGGAAGTGAAGAAAATTTGGCTACTTCCCACTTTGAATTGACCAAAGTAAATTCTGTTGATTTATGTTTATAGGGGAGAATTGCAGATAATTGAAATTCCTTACCAAAAACACTTCCTCACCAACACTTTCAAGCTCTTTCTGAACAAACATTACCAGAAATGCCCCAGAAGCAGCAAAAATTTATGACTTGCTTTTTTTGTCCTATTTTGTCAAGATAGTATAGAATAGTGAAGTCAAGACAGTGTAGAATAGTGAAGTCAAGACAGTCTGGAATAGTGAAGAATAGAAATTAATCCAAAAAAGGACAGGTGTCAGCACACTTAAATTTGAAGGCTGGCTCTGCTCTGTAACCCTGAGCAAAGCACTAATGCTTCATTTTGTTCATCTGGTAGATTGGCCATTCTTCAGGCCTGTTGTCAATAAGTTTACAAAGAGCCTGAGATCCAAGCAGCCTTTAGTACACTGCCCCTCTTATTATCCTCACTGTTGGAAGCAATAATGAAGAGGGAACTGATTAATGTAATACAAATAAAGAAATAAGGGAGAAAGTCATCAGGAAAATCATCAATCAGTGAAGTCAGATGCTGGATAATTAACAGCTACCTATGACTCTGGGCCAGAATCAAAGCACCCTCCAACTATCATTTGATAAGAGACCAGGAATTCACTGTTTCATCAGCTAAGACTTGAAATTTTCCCTTGTAGTCTGTATGTAATTATTTTTCAAATGATTGTGAAATCTTGAAGGCATGGTGGCCTGGAAGTAACAAAACGGCCAGCCAGTGCTTCAGAGTGGGAAGATCAACAGTGTAAGAGGAAGGGGGAAGATGGGTTCTATTTTCCACCGACACTGTGTGGATTGTTTAAGGATACTCACCGGGGATGAGCAGAAGAGGATTTAAATTGAATAATCAACTTCAAAACACAAAACAGCCTCCCATCCCCTAGACAAAGGAGTGACACAATGTAAAAAGAGTGCTATGTCAGGCGAAAAGGCAGGGCTTAGGAAAATAGCAATGAATGTAGAATGAACTAAGGAGGGAGATTTTTCCACTGCAGGCAAGAACTTCATTTCATTCCAGCTCCAAGCTGCTCTCTGTTGCAACAAAAAAATGTTTCTGAATTGTTTACAGGAAAGCCCAGAATTTATTCTGATTCCACTGGTCTTGAATGTGCATATATATCACTTGACAATCCATTTTTCTCACATTCAGTTTAAGAAACAATTTTTTTTCAAGGAGAAAACCCTTTGGCTTTTTCTGACAAGATGTTAGGTTCTGGGAAGCCACAGCGAGGGTCTCACACACAAATCTCACCTGCGATCCCCCGAGTTAAGCTGCAGTCAGCGGAGGCCTCCGGGCCTTAAGGGCTAGTGTTCTCCAATCACTCGCCCACCAAGGAAGCATGACTTCTCAAACTTCGATCCCAGGAGGACGAACCCAGATAAAACAGTGGTCGTTAATCCTCAATCCTTTACCTTCTCATCATGCCACACCATCTCAATGCCCAGTGAGGACCGCGCAGAGCACCCTTACCTGCCAGATCTGCTCCTCACTCAGGGAGGTCAGGCGGTCGCTCTTCAGGACCTCCTGCAGCAGGCAGTAAGGAAGCGTTAGGACGTCTTCCGGGCGGCTCTTCAGGAGTTCAGAGAGATGTTTCACTAAGAAATCAATCACCGCTTTCTCCAACAAAGTGAGGTTAAAGAGGTCAGCAAGTCTGTACAGATCCAAATAATTAAAGCTATTTAATTCCTGGGTGCCAAAAAATAAAAATGAAAAAGATCTCTTAGAAATCAATCCACAAAAGGGCAGGCAAGAAATTAAGGTTGACTGACTAAGGTTTTTGTAACAGGGGTGGGAAAAATGGGACTGTTAATGAAAAAAAAAAAAAATCTCAAATCTAAGGCTTTGGGTAGAGAGAGAACTGCTGCTCTAGAATTCATAATTTTTCCTTATTTTATTCCTTTTAAAACCCATATACTTAAATACATCTTAATAAAGGAAGTAAAAGGGGCTTCTGGTTTGACTGGCTGAAATGTTACTTTGCAACTTTTCAGACACATTTTACTAATGAAGATAACTGATTTTTCTACCCTTATCATATTTTAGAGCTCTCTTTTTTCCTATTAAAGATAATGTAAGGGCAGAAACTGAGATTCATGATTAGATGACACAAAATTATATGCAGACAGACTGACTCCATTCTTTTTCCAAAACTTCAAACTCAGTATATCTTTGAGTTTTAAAAAACCCTCACTGACTTAATTAAAACAGAGTTTCACATGTAAGGTCTCAGGAAATGAGGACATCTCAAAGAAAAGGCTCCTGCCCCAAATAATTCTATGTTGAAGCCACCTAAGATTAATGATTTATAATCGTTCTTGTTTTTGCTTAGCCTCAAACATTCACAACACCAGAGGCATTCTTTCCCACTGTTTCAAAGAGTTTGTTTTGGGGGATTTCACCTGTCTCTACAAGCTCTCAAACTCAGAGCCAGGGTCTACAGTAACAGCCCCAGAGACCAACAGCCTCCGTGGAACCTTTGTCATTGTAACCCATGGAGAAACAGAGTGGGCACGTACACTTGTTGATAGAAAATTTACATATTTCCAGTAGAATGAGAATGGGCTTTGTTCTGCATTTCCCTCATTTTTAACTTACAATTATTAATGCACAAGCAATATTTTCTAATCGCCCCTTTCTAGTTACCTAAGGGTATTAAGAACTCTTTACCGAGGTGCGTGTAGTTTGCATATCAGTAGTTAAACTGTATAAAGTGGGGAGTTGAAGAAACAAGAAAACCTCACTCTCACTGAAGCCATGATACCGACACCGTAGCACACGCTCCTCCTGTTGGGGCAGACAGGCTCTGTGAGCTTTAAGCAAAATCATCACTTCTTGTCCTTTTGGTTAAGACTATGTGTGAGCAAAATAAGCATCAATAATTCTGCTTTTAAGGATTTCCATTAACGTGCTGGAGGAGGTGGAAAGCAATGGTTAAATTGCATTAAATGTTCACTGTGGATAGGAAAAAAATCATTGCTGTTTTAGAAAGACTGCCATTATGTTTCTGGTTATAAAAAGCAATACATGCTCATTTCATAAAATTCAGGATATACAAAGTATGGAAAAGAAAATAAAAATCATTCATAATTTCACCATGCAGAGATAATCACTATTAATGTTTTTGATACACACTTCTAGACTTTTTAAAAGGAAGTCTTTTATATGTCAAGAAAAAGAAAGAACAATTGCATTCAAGGCAAAACAAACCATCAGCCACCACTGGCACTCGGAGGCAGCCCGGGCTAGTAGAGAAGACAAAGGGCCATGAAGTCACTCAGACCTGGTTCAGGTCCAGCTCTGACATTTACCATTGGCTGGACCTCAGTCACTGAATCTCCTTATTCCCCATGTACAAAATTGAGAGTTCAACTGGCTCATGGGGTTGTCATGGAGATAATGTATGAAAAGCAGTTAACATAAAAGTTTGGCACATGGAAAATATACAAGAGATAGTTTAAAGAACAGTAAAGTGTATCTGAGTATTTGGTATCCATAAACCATGATTCATCACTGATGCAAGGAGGTCAAAATGAAGAATGTGTTCTCTTGATATCCAAGTCTTGAGTAAGGTGTACCATTAAGTCAGGGAAAGAAAGGATGGCCAAAGTAAAATCCATAGAATTAGGTTAGAAAGTAATTGCATGTTAATGCTTTCCACATCTGTAATATTGACCCAAGCCTTTCTCCTAAACTCTAAACTCATTTTCCCAACTGCCTATCAGAGGACATCTTCTCTTGAGTATTCCACAGCCATACTGAACTTATCATGTCCAAACTGTACTTATTTTATGTAAACCTGCATCTTCTGTATTCCCTCTCTCAGACTATGGCCACATCTAGCCACCACTTGGCCCATATTCCTCCTTTATGTCTAGCCAATCACCAGCTCCTGTCTGTTCTTCCTCTTTAGCATTTCTTGTTCTGTCCCTTATATCTCCTGTCTGGATTTCCTGCAACAGCGTCCTAAATTATCATTCCTGCCTCCAGTATCCAACTCTCAATCCTTTTTACTAGAATCTGACCACAATGATCATCTGTTTAAAACCTATGAATAGGTTCCCATTTCCTTGTGGGGAAAAGACCAAAATCAGTAACATTGCATAGCGCTTCCCTGACCTGGACTCTGCTGATCTTGTCATCCTACAGTGCAGCAATCCATCCATCCTGGCGTGGCTCCAGCCATGACAACAACCTACACATTCACATCATGTGCCAGGACTCCAGCAGGCACTGGCAATGCAATGGCAAGTGAAAAGAGGCCAGCCCCAGGCCTTGTAGAGTATATAGTTTACTGGAAGAGAGAGCCAGCCATAAATCAAAAAAACTTACAAACAAATGGAAAATTATAACTGAGGTGAAGGTTAAAAAGGGTAGAATATAGAGCAGTGAATGGCCGTAAGAAGAGATTTGGCCTGGAGTGGAAAGTTAGTAAAGGCTTCCCTGAGAAGGCACAGGAAGCTGACAGCTGGCTGAAGAGCGGACACTAACTCGGCAAAGGCTGGGTGGGAGATGTATCTTGATTGTATTTTCTTATTTCTGTATTCTTGATGCTCCAGTATCTGGGGTCTCACTGACTGGGAAGAGACCACCCTTCCCAGCACTAGCCAATTCCTAGAGACAGAGAGCAAATGGCTTTACTCTGAACCACCTGCTCTATCTGGCACCTACACTCCAGGAGGCAATATTCCTCTGTCTTGATCATCCCAGGCCAAACAGCAGACAACCAGATCCAGCCCCGCTACCCCAGAGCCCACTGCAACTATTCAAACTAGCCAGCTGTAAGCCTGCTTGCCCTGCCTTACCCCTTCCTTCTTGCAGAAACCACAATAAAGGCTCCCGCTCACTTTTGCCCTTCACTCCCTCTGCCTCCTTGCCAACCCCGGGGATTCCTGACATGGCCCTACAGCCTATGCCCTGCTCTTGGGAACCGTGAATAACAAACTCTTTCTTTTCAATGGCAATTGTCTCCTGATCTATTGGCCTCACCACAACTCAATAATAATAAAACCTACCTCTTAGCATGGTGGTGGGACTGCAGGGTGAATGCTCCAAACAGAGGAATCAGCATGTGCAAAATTCCTATGGATGACGAGTCATGTTTCCCATTTGTCTGAACATCCTATTATTACATAGCACAGCCCCCTTCCTCTCCATGTCACCCTCTGTCATATTACTCCATTTATTTGCTAAATTTTAGGGCTCATCACCATCTGTAATTACTTTCTGCATTTATTTGACTACTTGTTTATGATACGTCTGTCTCCTCTCTCCCAGCCCCCAATAAGTCAGTCTTAGGAGAGGAAGGACCTGCCTGTTTTGTTCACTGCTGCATCCCTGGAGCCCAGAACAGTGCCAGGTACATGGTAGGGGCTCAAGCCAGACTTACTGAATGAATGAACCATTTCACCTTTTCAACTTCCCTGGCTCAGGTTCAACTGACCACTTCCTTCCCTGGGCTTCTGCCCGGCCCTCTGCAGGCTTCTAGACATCACTTGACACCGTAAGTGCCTTTTGATTGCAGATCTGTCTCCCTCTACCAAATCTAAGCTCCTTAGTAGCAAGGATTATGTTTTACTCTTCATGTGTCCCTGGTATCCAGTAGGGAGCAGATGCTCAATACCTGTGTGTTTAATGAAAGGATGTCCATGAGCTTTTCCTGTTTACTTGTAATTCAGCAAAACTAGAACAGCCCATGTCTTTCCAACATGTCCACCCAATGTCCACCCAATTCCGAACCTCGTCCAAATCTAGTCATTTTTCATACCTTATAGGTCTCCCTCATCTTCCCCTTCTCTTTCTGGCCTCCTTACACATACACACAAAGGCAAAGCAGTGGTCATTCAGTTTTCTGAGTGGAAAATTGGTCATAATGACTAGAGTTCAAAGTGTCAATGGGCAAGTGGAATATAATCATTCTTCTGTGAGAAAAAATTTTCAATCTACCCCAAATTTCTTTTCCAGTTTAAGAGAATTATTTCCCCTATCAATTGGCTACTCAAATTAAAGTATTTTAATATCTTTCAAATGATATTCTGTCCTAAATATGAGATTGTCTCAGTTCTCCCACATTCTGTGACTTAAAAATCCAAGTACCCAGGTAGAGGCAGTAGTTTTAAATGGAAATTACAGCTCAGCAACAAGAAACTCTCTTGAGTAAAAGAAAATCTTTCTCTTTTTTTCCTAAAAAGGTTTCATTTCTGTCACACTGTTTCTCACTTGAAATTTAGTTTCTATTCAGAATTATAGTGCATATACATTGTTGTTCTTTGGGGAATATTTGAAAATAGTATTTATTTTCCTTTGGTTTAGGGCTATTTGGCTTCTCCTTTTCCTTCTATTTGTTTCTTATAGTGTGAATGACAAGTTAAATAACAGAAGAAGAGCCATAAAATGTGTCCCCAGTATTGCACTAGCTATGGAATAAACACCAGTTTTTCAAGTTCAACAATTCTTAAACTTTATATATTCCCCAAACTTGTCTTTCTGTGCAGCCTGTTGCCCTAATTAGATCTTTAAAATGGTTATCCCCCAGATTAACTACTGAACATGGTAGGGAAAGAAAGCATGAGAAAGGCAAGTATGATCTATTTTGGGTTATATTCAGGTGTAATTTGCTTGGTAAATTATCTAGTGATTAGGACATGGGTGGAGGAAGTAGGGCAGTTTGAAGGCTGTGTTGCCCTGTG